GAAGGAAGGAAGGAAGGAAGGAAGGAAGGAAGGAAGGAAGGAAGGAAGGAAGAAATTAAGAGACAGGAAAGGTGTTATCAGAATTCACATGAAGCCCCAGCAGAGCTATCATATGATATCAAATGGTAACTGGGAAATCAAGGTCCTCTCTTGATGTTCTTAGTTTTACTAAGAAAGACTTTAAGAAAAATCACAAATAAGCTTTAGGACAGAGAACGGACTTCAACAGAAGCATGAACACAGTTTATTGGAGCTTAAAAGGGAGCCCCAGGGCAGGCAAACTGGAAGGGGGAAGGAAGTGGAGAAGAGAAGGAAGAAAGTCACTCTGCTTGAACTGAGGCAGCATGGGGGTCAGCCCCCTCCCCCTGGGCACATACAGCCACAGGTCGAGGAGAGTAGCTTTAGAAAAAGGAGTAGGGAATCCCTAAGCATTGACTACAGGGTGTGAGAGCATCCTTAGGATACAGCCAACATCTGAGAGAAAACGAAGAAATAACTATGTCTTTCCAGACCGGTCTCAGAAGAGCAAGCAGACCCCAAACTCATGGTGGGTATGGTAGAGATGGTGTTAGGTTTCAGGTGTTCCAGAAAGGAAGGGTACACACCTTCAGATGAACGCACCTTCTTGTGGGTACTGCCTAGCCAGGTCCCAGCTGTACTCTGTGTATTAGCTCTAGAGGGACAAGGGCCTGTCTCCACCTAGAGGTAAATTCTATTTTGTACAATATAGCACCAATTCCTGTCCGAATTCCCACTCTGACTCTTTCCCCCCCGAGGTAGCATAAAGACCTCAAAACGCACCGTATGTCGACAAAACCATTAATCTGCATCCAGACATCAGCTACAGATATAGGCAACCTGGGATTCAGAGCCCCAGGTGAAGTCGGAGTTCAGGGGTGTGACACTTACCTACTTACCTATCCTGCACAAGACTGTGTTCAATTCCCTCATGGAAAAATAGAATATTCATATTCTTCCAATTTTATTTTTGACTACAAGAGCCCAAAAGAATTCTTACCCATCCATCTTTATGGATATTATCTCACACCAGTCTACCCAAAATTAAACTAAAAATTACAATAGATACACTGTATCACAACATTGGTAAACATAAAACATGAGCCCTTTCCTATACACACACATGTGTGTCTGCACGAATCTTTTCGATTGTACAGAGTAGTATCATGTGTAAAAATTTCTCCTAGACTTTGTATTTCCTTTCCCCACACTACAGCTCTTCATGTTTCAAACATGATAATATATATAACATCACATTATTCTAACAAAAAGTTTCTCAAAGATTATTTTTTGTTTTCTTTTACAAAAACATTTTTAAAAAATGTTTTAAAAAACATTTTAAATGTTTTACAAAAACATTTTTTAAAAAATTTTGTAAAAAAAATTTACAAAAAAATTTTGTGAGCATGTTATGCCAGGAATATGGGTGAACATATCTGTGCCTTCCCATGATGTCAGAATATACTAACAGTAAGTTCACATGGCACAGCAGTTTGGTTGGCAGGAACTTGCCAGACATTCATGATCGCCTTGATAGCAAGCCCTGGCTGAGGCACCTGTGAGTTGCTCCATTCCCATCCTAATTACAAATATTAACTCTGGCCACATGGCACACAGTACACAGTAGATACATCTGTGGCTATGTTGAGGGTAGGAACTACAGAATGGTTATATGTGTAGGTTACAGAGGCAAGGCATTGCAAGGGACCTAAGAGGAAAGCTGGAAAACTGAAAGAAAAGCCAATAAACAGAGGCTTTATGAGGGCTGAGATCTCTGGATGGTGTCCTAGGAGCAGTTAGTTCCCTCCTTTCTCAAAAGGAGTCAAAAGCTCCATGTAAAGTCATTTTTCGGGGCAATCGCTCTGAAAACCATTGTTTTGTGTGATATGGAGTAGCTCAGGGCAGGACACAGACTGATCTCAATCACCTATGAAGCAATGCCCTGAAAAAGGTCAATTCCTTTGATTAATTTAGCTGCTTAATGACAGAATAGGATGAAGGGCACAGGCCGCCTTCCCTCAAGCTCTAGCATAATACAACACCTCGTAATGAGTAGTGATTCTAATTTAGCTCATATATGATTCATTCTTCCAATAAATATCAGTAAGCACAGATTCTACTTTTCTCCTGGAACACTGAGCCAAACAGACAAGCCTTGTATACCACAAAGACTGATTTCACTCTTGGATGTAGCTACCTCTTGTCTTTGAACCTCAATACCACGAGTGGCAAATACCTGAATTCTTTTTTTTTAATCTTGCAGGTCTATTGATATTAAAATTGAATTTTTACCCCAGAGTGGAATGATAATTAACTTCAAATACCACACCTCCGCTCCTCTGCAACAAAATGATGACATCTGCTCTAAGCAGTTCCCAATGGTATTGACTGTATTTCAGGTCTCCCCTGAGCTGGCCTAACTTTCTCTTTTCTTTTTCCTCAGGAGATAAAGTTTTAATGTTTCCTCTTCCAGAGTGTAGAGAATGCAGCTACTGCCTGCACCCGAAGGGAAACCTCTGTGAGAAAGAGAAGTTAGTTCCCATTCTGTCTTCTCACCCCATTTGCTTTCCTCGGGAGAAAGGTTGACTCAGTCCTGAAAATGTCTTTTCTCTTCTTTGTTGCTCGGTCTGGGGAGTAGTATTCTCTCTCCGACGGGATTAATGTTGGATGGAACCAGCAGATTTACCTGCAGAGGGAAGAAACTCTATCATCTTTATGGGACCAGCACCTTCACGGAGTATACTGTGGTGGATGAAATTGCCGTGGCCAAGATCGATGATGCTGCTCCCATGGATAAAGTCTGTGTCCTGAGCTGTGAGGTGCCAACAGGCTTTGGAGCTGTGTTTAATACAGCACAGGTAAGGACGCAGTTGAGCTGTTTTCAGTGACTGTCTACCGGGTAAATGAGGAGCCACATGGCCGGAAGGCTCCTTCCGTCATAGACAAAACCAAAGAGGCCTCCCCCGCCTCCTCTTCATTTCCTGCTAACACCAGACCACCTCTGAATCTGCAGGTCACCCCTGGCTCCACCTGCCTGGTTTTTGGACTTGGAGGGATCGGCTCTGCCATTGTCATGGCCTGCAAAGCTTCTGGTGCTTCTAGAATCATCGGGGTTGACATCAATGAGCAGAAGTTTCGCCGGGCAAGAGCCTTGGGCGTCACTGATTGTCTCAACCCTAGGAAGCTCCAGAAGCCTGTCCAGGACGTGGTGATGGAAATGACGGGTGTGGGTGTTGACTTTGCCTTTGAGGCCATCGGGCTCATTGAAACCATGGTATGTGTCTTGAGCACGTTTCGTGAACACACTAACTTATTAAAGTCAGGAGTTTACTGCCATTTATTTTATTTGAAATCGGTGTTGCAAATTGAACCAAGAGCCTCCAGCATACTAAGCTTGGCTCTGTATGTCCAGTCCTGATGAGGGGCAGTGAGTTTTTAACCTAGCCTTTTTGAGCACACTGGCGTGCCTTGCACTGTTATAAGCTAGTAGCCTATTCTACCCTATTTCATTTGTAGATCAGCCTTCCCAGCTAATTAATAATATCTTCATCTTAAAGACCGAAGATATTAATCTTAATGAATTTAAACAGCTTACTCTAGGCATCATATTAAGCATGCTATTTGACCATAGTACGTCTCCCACATATTCCCTGAAAGCACACGTTAGCATTGTTATCAGACTTGAAGAATACAACCTGTGCCGCAAGGTGGCCTAGCCACCCACTCTCGATAAGCCAATTTAAAGACCCAAAACCCAAATTAAAACTCAAAAGTAAAAAGAAGAAGAAGAAGAAGAAGAAGAAGAAGAAGAAGAAGAAGAAGAA